TCGGACAGGCCACAGAGAGGCCGCAAGAGGCCTGCCGGCTGCCGAGAAGCTTCGGACAGGCCACAGAGAGGCCGCAAGAGGCCGAAAAGCTTTTGAAGGCGGTCCAAAATGCCTAAACGTCGCTTTGGGAAGCCGATAAGAAGAGAGGAGGCAGGCTTCGGACAGGCCACAGAGAGGCCGCAACAGGCCGGCCAGCTGGTGAGGCCTCGGACAGGCCTTTGCTTTGGAAGTGCTTGGAAGGGTTCTGCTAGGCTTGGCCAACTGCTGCATCCTGCGGTTTTGGAAGTGCTTGAAGGGTTCTGCTAGGCTTGGCCAACTGCTTCGCCCTGCGGTGTCCCAGGCGCCTCCCCGCCTAGGCTTTGGCTATAGGCCGGGGTCGGCGGATTATACAGTATTACATACACACGTAAATCACACACTATATATTACTGATGTACGTACGTATGTATGTTCTTATGTTTATATAAGATCTTTAGCAACCGAAACAAGATATGTCATGTAACGAGTCATGTATAATGTACATACATATAGCAAGTCTATCTGGCCCAGGCAAGGGCAAGGAATCTATAGCTCAGTGGTTAGAGTGCTTGGACCAAATAGTCAGAGGATCGAATTATCGAATCACACATTACAAGGAAATATGTTTTGTTTTCTTTTGACGGATTAAACAAAATAGACCAACCTGGTGTACAATGACCCAGTTTAAAGGACACGAACCGCTCGGATATCGGGAGCGCAGCCTTTAGCACAGTGCGTGCGCATCAACACGTCTTCACTGCCAATCACCATCGATCCGAAAGAAAACCCATTGACTGTTGAAGGAAGGCCCCCGGAGCCCCACCTGAGAAAATGAAGAGTACAAAGACAATATATATATATGATTAACAAAACAACGGTATTTTGCAGTTAACAAGTTCTTTTACACATATATACATCGTATTCAAGCATAGTAGTTCAACTAGGAATTAACACATAACATCATCTAAGGCGCAAAGTCTATGTGATATACAATAAACAATTCACTGCGCAAATCGAACCTGTTGATGGACATATTGTAGCTATCACTCTGCAAATATATTTAAACAACGCCTGCCCACTTTTTCAAGTACAGAGCTGCGGACCTTTCTCACTGCAAGTGACTCAGTTGCCTAATCGATGAGACACTCCCCGCGTAAAAGACATCGAACCAAACAATGATAACCATTAATCACTGCAATTCGTTTTTCTTTACGTTTTTCAGTCCAGCCCATTGCAATCCACACTGCGAACAGATGCACGAATCCAGTGATGACACCATTCTAGCAACTCTAGCAACCCCCTGAATCATCGATTTCATGACTCCTGATCCTGATAGATGTGCTCAAGAGCTCCTGGCCAGAGTGGAACCCACACCACCGGCCAGGATGACAACCTGATGATCTACAATGGCTGGGGCACCGCCGACTGTGACAAGATCCCCTTGGACACTGGGGCAGAGACGGGAGTAGGTCCGGCGTGCGCCCAAGATATTTACGTGTAGATGAACATGTTGATGATGTCCAACTTGCAGACTACTTGTAGAATGGATTTGTTTCAATGATGTTTCATTCATTCTCATTCATGAATTTTCACCGACAAATGTAGGAGAAAATCTGTAGACAATGACCTCCAACAGGAAGCATCAACAACACCCAGAGCGCTCAGAATATGGCCGAAATCCTGGGATCACCTACCCAAACCCCGCAAATCCATGATCACCCAGGTGGTGCAAACTCACAATGTCCAAGTGAGTCTCCTCTGTGGTCGACTCGACTCAACCGACCTGCATGTCCACTCGACCTGCGGGTCCTGGCAGTCGACTGCGTGGCTTTCTAAGGACAGGGACTACTCGGGCTGCCCCTGCCGAAGCTGGAACGGCATCGTGGAATATCGCTGCGAGGCCGACCGTCTCGGTGCTCTCGGTGCTCTCGGTGCTCTCGGTGCTTCTCGGTGCTCTCGGTGCTCTCGGTCGAGACGGTGCGGCGAGGACGGCCAGGACGTTGGGGACGACTTGGGGCGGTGCGCAGTGACAGAGAAGAGGGGCGGTGCGAGTTGAGGGAGAAGGAGCGTTGTTGAAGGAAGAGTGAAATCCAAGATCAGCTGTGTTGGGAGACTGCCCTCAGTATGGCCAAGAGCAACACCCCCCCGGAATAAACAGAACCCCCCTAGCATCACCTCACAGGTTCTGAACAGTCACACCAAACAGACGGGTCGCTGGTCTTCCGCTCCAGCAATTCTGCCCCAGAATGCCGTCACCGTTCGCAGGACATCGGTCGAATTCGAGCGGAAGGACCCTCCGCCCCTCCTCCCTCCTCCCTTCGTCCTGGCGGCAAATAACCGAACCTCTTCCATCGGGTCGACCAGGTGCCATTCGTCCACCTTTTCATCCCCACCTCACCGGACATCGCCCAGCTTCCCCTCCCTTCCGAGTCGCCGGACTCGCCAGACTCAAGCCCAGCCCCCCTTCCGAGCCCGTTTCGCACGGAGAAGCGGAGGTGGAGTCGGTGTACCGGGACCAACACTTGCGACGCTGGGCCTCGGTGATGCATCAGGACACCACCTTCGCAGTGCCTCGGTGGTGGTGGGGTCTGTCGCGAGGAGAAGGGCTCTGAGTTCGTGGGTGGAGAGTGTGGAAACTGGACAACGCTTTGAACACTCAGTGCGCATACGGTTGAAACATCACGGTTTCTCAGAGATTCTACTGTAAATGCTACTGTACTGCAATTCGACTGCGGGCTGCTTAGATTAACACACTTTACTCTTTTCGACAGCAAGGTTTCGATGGTCAACTGAGGACGTGGAGATCAAATGTGGCAATCAAAGCTGCCTGGCATTCGTCTCACGAAGAAGCCAACAAGAAGCCAAGCGAGGGAATCCTATATGGGTGGTGAAACCGACCAATTTTGGGCTTCCAAAAGGCGTGACAGTCAGGATCCAACCTTGGCGCGGGCGAGGTTTCCTCCGGAGGTGTTTCAACACCCTGTGATTTGGAGAACTGTTTGGAGACCAAAGAGCGATTTGCTGACATGGGTCGGTAACCGTTCACCAAGTCGAAAAGCAGTTTGCTTTGTCTCTGTGGGGTTAGTGAGGAGGTAGTGAACTGGTCCATCAAGAGCTTGGTGAGCCATTGAGGTTCAAACTGCAAGTCAAGAGATTCAAACCTGCGTAGGTACCTGATGCCACACCTGACTAAAAGACACCAGCCAATCTGGCTGATCTGGTAAGTGACCACGATTTCAGCACACTGAATCTGTGTTGGTTTGTTTGTCTTTGCCAGCTGTTTTGTAGATCTTGCTTGGAGCTCCATGGCTGGTCATCTGTTCCACACCAAGACCGAAAGCAGCTGGTCACCTGATTTCGACCGTTTGCTGAGTGGGAAACCTGGTAAAGTGCAATTTCTTTCCTGTGACCAGTAGATACTGTCACAAAAGCAGTGTTTCCTGTAGACGCAGAAAACCAGTAACTTGTGTCAAATCTGTTTGCTTTTTTGTGAGTCCTTCATTCGAACACCTTGCCGTCGCTCGAATTCCTGGTTCCCAGCTGTCGCCTAAATCTCCAAAGCTATGAGTGCGGAGATCTGCACATAGTAACAGGTGCCTTACTAGTAGGAACAAAGAAGCTAGTAGTAACAAGTGCCACGCTAGTAGTAACAGGTGCCTTACTAGTAGTAACAAGAAGATCTGCACATCCCAGGAAGTCTTTAGATGTGGGAGATCTCTTTGAGCTTGCTGCACACCACAAAGGAGGCCCAAGCGCAACCGAACGTCATCAGCTTCAATGCAGCCATCAGCGCATCAACCAAATGCGCCTCCAACTGGGTGGTAGCAGTGAAATTGCTGGAGTCAGTGGAGAAACTCACACCTGGCCGTGTTGTTCCATGTTCTTCTTGTTCTTCAAAGTGACCTCGGAGGTTGCCCTAAGTGTTTGGGACATCAAATATCCTCAATCGATCCCCCTCCATTCGTTCACTTTGAAGAACCTTTGTAGAGACACTTGAAGCTCTTTGTGTTTGCATGTTTGCGTTTAGGTAGGTAGTGAAGAAGTATGCACTTACACAGAAAGCAAGGAACAGTAATCAGCATTCATCTATATATATATGTATAAAAGTATATGTCTCTTCGACAACATTATATCACTGAAGATGGGAACACAAGTTCACTTAGTGTTTCTTTTCCCGTACCTTGTGTGTGTATGATTGGATTTCCCCAGATGAGGAAAGCCAAGATCCAGCGCGATGTGGTGAGCTACACCGCAACGGCCTCAGCCATGAAATCGTCGACTGGTGCATGGCCCCAGGCATTGAGCCTGTGTGGGGCCATGCAAGAGTCAACGATTGAGGCCAATGTCATTAGCTACACTGTTCTCATCGATTCCCAAAAGGGCCGCCCATGGCCAGTGTGCGTGGAGTTGCTGGGGGGAATGAGGGCTGCGACATTGCGGGCGAACGCTGTGACCTTTGGTGCTGTGGTCAGTTGCTATGAGAGGGTGGGGCAGTGGCCTAGGGCCATGAAGATACTTCAGATGATGCCCAAGGCACATGTGCAGGTAGACCTGGTGACCTACAATGCAGCCATCAGTTCCTGTGAGAAGGGCTTCTACTGGCAGGGAGCCTTGATCCTGATGGAGGACATGTGCAAGACAAAGATTGCGCCTGATGTTGTAAGCTTCAGCGCGGCCATCAGTTCTCTTGAGAAGGGCAACGAATGGCAGCGAGCATTGAGTCTATTTGAGACCATGCTGCTGGAAGAGGTTCAGCCCAATGCTTTCACCTTTGGCGCAGTCATCAGCTCCTGCGCGAAGAGCGGACGATGGCAGCATGCCTTGAGCATCTTTGAGACTATGGTGAAGGATGGTGTGCAGATGGATGTGGTGAGTTGCAATGCAGCGATCAGTTCTTGCGAGAAGGGCGCACACTGGCAGGGAGCCTTGGACTTGATCGACGAGATGCCCAAGGCCAGGATACCCCTAGATGTGATCAGCTTCAGTGCGGCGATCAGTGCCTGCGAAAAAGCCAACCAATGTCCATGGGCTTTGAGCTTGTTTGAAGCAATGCCGATGGTGAAGATTCAAGCGAACCTCATCAGCTTTAACGCTGCCATGAGCTCTTGTGAAAAGGCTGGCCGTTGGGAGCTTGCGCTGAATCTGTTGAGCGCCATGCCTGATGCTGGGATCGAGCCAGATATTGTGAGCTTCAACGCTGTGATCAGTTCTTGTGAGAAGGATGGGCAGTGGCAGCACGCCTTAAGCTTGTTTGAGAGCGCGCTGGAAGCAAAGCTGCAGCTGACGTCAATCAGTTTCAATGCACTTATTGGGGCCTGTGAGAAGGGACAACAACGCACTAGGTAAGCGGAAAACCCAGCGCGGAACTAGAGGTCACTAACTTAACTTGACACAAACCATGCAAGGGTCTGTTCCGCCAGGCATACTACATACCATGATGCAAGTCACTACATTCTTCAGCAAGCGGATTGAAGATGGAAGGTTTTCTGCTCTGGCCGGTGCCACAGGCGACTAGAAATGCTCAGAGGAAGTCCCAACTCCGTTCCCACGGTGATTTCAAGGAGTGTATAGTTACTTGGACGCGCTTGCCAAGGGCTGAGCCGGAGATGTTCATTCTGGTTTTTAACGATCCCGAAAATCAGAAGGGTGAAGGTGGATGGCACCCCATTTGTGGGGCACCTTCTGCGTGGCAGCAGGTATTCAACTCGCCACTTCTGCGCTTCAACTCGCCAACATGGTTTAGGCTTTGGACACCAACAACCAAATGTGTCACGGATCATTTGCATGAACCATGACGCATTCGCATCGCCTCGGCATGGCGAAGTGCCACGACCCCCAACTTCGTCAGCTCGAGCTGCCAAAGAAAGCTGGAGTCAGCGTGCGAAACAAACAACATGGCATTTAGCATTTTGTGTTCTCCACATGAATATATATACTTTGTTGCTGACCAGATTTTTGCTAGCAACCAGGTGCAAGAGCTTGTTGAAACGAGGAAGAGGACGTTCACTCCAGCACATGTGAAGCAGTTTTATTTCAATCCATTTTTGCAACAAGACTGCAGTTTTTGCGTCTTGCGTTGGTTCGTCAGACGTCTGTGTTTCCTGGCTTCCAAGCAAAGCACCCAGGACCTAGCTGCCTCCCGAAAGGACATGAAAGTTGCAAAGCTGCTTTGCACATGTCATGTCCGAATGCCGAATGGTGGCGGTTCTTGGAAGTAGCGCTGCTTGCTCGGAAGCGAATGACAGACACTGTGACAAAGAGACTGGTTAAAATAGGAAGCCGGAATTCTCAGTTCAGCAGGCAGGACATGCTGTTATAGCCGTACATGGAAGGTGCGCGCAGCCTAGCCACATGGTGATTCCGTCGGACTCAGAAGTGGATTGCAGATGATTTGAGATATTCTGTTAGTGTTCTGTTCAAGAACGGCCTTTTTCACCTGGCTCAGCAGGGTGAGCATAGGACCGAGACTTTCTGGTCTTGTCTCGAGCCGAGAAGGCTTTCGGCCCTTGTCCTCCTGTGAATAGCTTCATCGGAACGTGCAAAAGCCATCGAAAGCCTAGGAAAGTCTTCAACCATGGGGTTTAGCCGATGTTTGCTTTTACCAGAGGTTTGGTTGGGGCGTTTTCCTACTTCAACACACACCCATTTTGTAAGCTAGAACCCAAGGGTTTGACGAACGTTCTTTTTTTTTGCCTTTAGTCTTCTGCTTCCATTGTCTTTTGGGGTGCTGACGGTACCTACCTGCATACCCTTTGTCAGAACTCTTGGCATCAGAACTCTTGACAACCCCCGGGATTTGAAGCGAGTTCCCTCTCAGACAAAGCCCACATGCTGAGACCACCTTGCTGACCTCTTTTTACAAAACAAACAGCTACACGCTACAAGTCCTGCACAAGCGCTCACAAGTCCCGCTACAGTCCTACGTGCTACTTACTCCTATAGCACTAGCAGTCGCACTCACTCCTCCTGCGTCGCCTACAGAAACTAACACGCTCTCCGTATCCCACTCCAGGAGCTCCCAACACCCTCCGCATCCTCCTCTCCCCGACCCAGGCTTCCCTGCGCATCGGGTGGCTTTGGCTTCTGCCTCTCCGGTCTTCGCCAAGATGCTCCAGAGCGCACCGTGGCCGAAGCGACCGCAGCTGCCGGGCGGTCGCGCGACGACGCGGAGTGCGCTGAGCTGGGCCGCTTCGTTGCGGCCTCCTTTTTGGCCCGTTTGGGATGGAGTGGAGTGGTGGATTCTTGTTTGACAGGGAGGGCGTGGAACTTCTTCTCCCACCGAAAAAGCTTGGGGATCCACCTGGAT